CCACACGCCCGCTGTGAACTGACCACTGGAGGACATACACTCTCACAGACACACAGCCCACACGCCCGCTGTGAACTGACCACTGGATGTTGTCCTTGTTGTCGGTGAAGCCGGCTCCAGCCAGGCTGGTGGTAGTCTCGCTCAGGTAGCCCACAAAGTAGTTGCTGAAGTGGAAGGACAGGGCGTTCTCATAGGCGCGGAGCCACCTGTGACGGGCAGAGCACAGTGACCTCAGAGGGGCTGTACAGCTCAGCCCCACTGGCTCCCGGCCGCTGCTCTAGAACCTGCAGGCTCTCCCCCACTTCCAGGTCCTTCACCCCTCGTTCTCGGACTGAATGAATCCCAGAAATCAGGTCGGCTCAGTTCCTGACCAGCTCCCAGCACCTGCGCAGGCCCCACCTGTGACCCCTCAGCTCTCAGGTCCACTTTACTGTACTGGCATCTGTAATTGATCTGACCTGCAAATCACCTGGACTCACTGTGAACTGGTTTCTTTCAAGCAACAGGTAGACAAGATCACTGGATCAATAAGCTACTAACTGCCAAACAGGACAGATAGCCAAATGCTCTTCTGTCCTGAGAGCGTGCAAGTGTTAAGACTTCACCCTGTTGTTCCAGCTCGTTCTGGTCTCAGCACATGTTATCAATTACTGCTGGACCTCTGTGTTGTCACGGGGAAGGCCCTCACGCACGTGAGCCCATCGCCTACCCCTGCGGGACACGACCGGCTGCCAGCTTACCTCGCAAGGGCTCCTCTGAGGCGCAGAGAGGAGAGAAAAGAAGGAAAAGACAAGAAACAGGGAAAGAGTCAGCAGATGCCCAGCGGCATCTTAGAAGATCTGGCTGTTCAGGAGATGCTGGTGGTACTACAGTGACAGACCTGCAGCGGCTACGGTTATTCTCTTAAAGACCCTGCTAGCTGACCCCTGAGCTGGACATCAGGCGCGATATTAAAGCAGACTCCTGTGGAGTCTCCTGTGAAGTGGGAGAGTCTCAAAGTCAAAGCTGTGACAGCAGGAGTTTTCTCCGACTCCACAGGACCTCCGACTGACCCCCGGAGACAGATTCCAGATCGCAGACGTGTGGAATACAGATTTCGGAAGTGAATTAAGGGGACTTAGCAAAATTAAAATCTCTACAGCAAGTAAGTTTTCCTAAACTTCAACTACCGACAAACCTTGACTTCATCTACTAAAGCGACATTCTGACCGCCTGTTTACCTGGCTTTCCGTTTCTTTCTGCTGCGGGGAAGCAAGGAGAGAAGAAACAGAAAGAGATGCAGAGATTAGACAAGAAACCACAGAGTGGGCGCTGGAGACCAGGCATCTCCAGCATGAGGAAAACACTGCTTTTATTTTAACCACACTGGAGGTGCACATGAAGAACGGGGGCAGTTGGGAAAGATCTGAGCTGTAATTTGAAGGAAACTCCAGAGCGTACAGCTGTAGCTAATTATAGTCCCCGCTGACAGCTGATAACTATGTGGAAGTGCAATTTAAAACAAGAGCAGGAGGCACTACGTTATCCAAAGGGTTGTGGGGGTGTGGAGCTAGCAGCCAAGACATGCTGTCGAAGCCAATACCCTGGTTTCTTTCACGAATCCTGGGATCAAACACTACCTAACAGGCCAGGTGGACCAAATGGCTCCTCTCATGAATACAGCACTCCTCTGTTCTGCTAGAAGAGAGAATGCATGCACTCTCGGTTCTTTATCAGCATGAATAACAGTCTAGGTGCAGAAGACAAAGCTCAGATCTGTAAACCATGATGGTGCTGCTTGAACACACAGCTGCTGCTGCTGCTCCACTGGGATCGTGCCTCTTGTTCATGAGGAGAACCTGCTTCAGGGGGAGCTCGGATCGGCCCGGCCCGTCAGCTTGGGCTTGGACCGGGCCGGTAGTTCTGGCCACCAGGGAGAGGCAGGGGGTGGACTCACTTGCGCAGCATGCGGTCTCCGTAGATGGGGATGAAGTAGGGGAAGAGATAGGGAGCGATGCAGTTGGAGATGATCAGGCAGACCTGACACTTGATCCAGCTGAGACAGACTTTCGTGAACCAGGCCAAGCTCTGTGGGAGAGAGAAACACAGGGAATCAAACACGGACATTACAACACAGTCCTGGAGCGACAGAAACTAGCAGAGGTCAAAAGCAGAAATCATCCCACTAAACTCAAGCAGTGTCGTCCAATATGACTCACCAGCCGCTGGCTCTCGATGGCCTCCTTGTAGCTGTTGAAGCTGATCCAGGGCCCAAAGATGACTGTTCCCACGAAGTAGATGTAGCCCATGAACTCCACGGGCGAGGGCACGGCGGGCACCGTGCCATGGTCCAGGTCGAAGGCCAGGGAGATGGCTTTCATGGCCACCACCATCTGGGAGCCTGCAGAGCCAAACATGGGGTCATGACCTCCACTGAACCCACAGCTGCACACAGACCCCCTGGCCTGGCAGGGCTGGAGGGGTCACCACACGGGGTCGTGACCTCCGCCTAACCCACAGCCGCACACAGACCCCCCTGCCCTGGCAGTGCTGGAGGGGTCACCACACGGGGTCGTGACCTCGGCTGAACCCACACACACAGGCCCGGTATCAAGAACTGCAGAGACAAGTCAGATCCGAACCCTGATCCACCCTGAGGTGCGGCAGGGAGACAGATGGACGAGGACAGGACCTGACCTGCTCCGGTCATCACTGCACACGCTGGGGATCAGAGCCACACAGACACACTGGCCAGGGGTAACGCCCAGATCTCCCCCAGTCACCCGGCGCATTTCCGTCTCTCTGGAGCGCCCCACCCTCACCCCCACACCCAGGGAGCGCCCCGGGACACAGGCGGAGCAAGACCTCCACCAGGGAGGACGTGAGGGCTGCAGACTGAGATCAACAAAACAGACCAGATTCACCTCTCATCTTATGCCAGGTAGCTGTGTCCATCATGTGCAATTCTCTGGAAGAAAATCAGAAGGAACCGTAATTAGTGATCACCATTAAAACGTTCTGACTGAGTGTGTGAACAGGCTCTGCACACGCGTTAGACCTTTCGTCTCCTCAGAACCGAATCTCTTCAGAGCGACTGGCTAGGATTTATATCAGCTTGACACCCCAAGAAGGCTCAACAGCTGGAACACTGTGTTTCCTTTCTTCTCTTTGGAATAAACCTTGACTTGTTCCTTTATATTTGCTTTGCTGACTAATTAAAAAAATCCTGAGAGGAGGGGGTGGGGGGGACCACCACACTCGATAAACCCCTGGCCCAGGGCCGTACCCCATCAGCAGGTAGATGAGGATGGTGACGGAGAGGAAGGAGCCGCGGTTGCCGGAGTGTCGGCACAGGAACAGGATGAGGTAGCAGAGGAGGCTGAGCAGGACCACCCAGACCATGTGGAGCTCGAAGAACAGGTACAGGGAGTAGAAGCCCCCCGCCACCGTGCTCAGGTGCTTCAGGTAGGACGGAGGGCCTGGGGAGACAGAACCAGACAGACGGGCAGGAGCCTCAGAGCGGATCTGCTGGCCCAGCCTGCAGACCCCTCAGACTGGACACGAACCTCCGGATCAGAGCATCCCAGAGGGACGCTGCTCCTAGAGGAACACAGCGCGGTCCAGTGTGTGTCTGCACACCGAGAGGCAGGAGGCTACTCCATAG